GTTGAGGCAGTAGACTTGTCTTATATTGTTTTCTCGCTCACTTGAGCCTTCTGCTTCCTCACTCTCATAGTGTTCACTCCCTCACTCACTCATTCACTTACTCACTCTTGGCTTTGTCTCTTGGGTAGGCTCAGTTGGATTTTAATGAGTCATTAAGACTTGTTCTCTCATTGATCTCTTTGCTCCCCCTCAATAGGAGCACTCAGTAGGATGTTTTGACATTGTTTGGCGCTTTGGAGGAGAATTTTGAAAACTCACCCTCAAAAGGTGCATCCTCGAGCTATCTTGCATTTATCATTGTATAGCTCTAGGTGGAAATAGATATGTTCCTGCTCTAAATAAGCAAGTGGTGTTGTTCAGATTGTGCTTTTGTGTGTTTAAAGTAAAATAAAGTAGAAAAAGATTAAAAATGGCATGTTTGAGGTCATAGTCTATTTGCTATGCATAATTTCATGGAGTCTGATTGAGTAGGGCAAACTTATATCTTAAACTTACTTGCAAAGATTTCCTTTAGATTATTTTAGAAAGGGTTATAAATCTGATGATTACAAATGTTGTCTTGATTATCTTTCTTTCACTTTTGCTTCTCTTGATGAGTGAATATTCTTTTTTTTAATTGTTGAATGGGTATGAATGCATACACACATATATGATTGAGATTATTGTTTTAATAGGTTTTATAAATTTATTAGTGGATGCTACATTGTTTGAAAGTTGTACATGCCATCATGTATTATTTTGAGGAAAGAAGCTCATGCATCATGCTTTAATTAATAAGATTACTTGATTAGCATGTGTGTTTGGACTAATTTTTTGATTAATTTCTTACATCTATTGTATTACTAATTCATGTTTGACTCATTACATGTCACTATGTCAGGGAGGTGAATCGGGTCTAATTACAAGGGCGTGTTTTTTTTTTAAATTAAGGGAAAATGTTATTGCTTATGGCGCTTAAATATGGAAGATCCATCAAATGAAGAAGCTTATAGTGTCATTATGGATGAGATCTTTGATGACTATGGGTACCTATATGACAGAGATGATAAGTTTGAAGACATATTGGTTGGTGAACTCATCAATTGGCCAAAAGCAAATGTTCACTTCACTAGGATCAAGTAACGTTCTCTGCTACTTTTGTTCTTTGATCTTTAGTTTGCTAGTTTTTACACGTTAGACTCCTTGAATATTAGTTAAAAGGTCAATTTGGACCATGTATGTCAATCGCACTTGATGTTCAAAAGATGGTAGATATTACTCAATTTTTAATTGAGTTTTTTGTTGATGAATGAAAATTATTTTATTTTGTTCTCTTAAATATTATTGTAATTGCCTCTATAATTGGTGTGCATGATACCTAAAATTAATTTTACATAATAGTGCAATAAAAATCTATAATATTATGTACTCTATCTATTCTTGACTGATATTACTACACCAAAAATGGTCTTTTTCAACATACAAAAACAGTCAAAAGGGTATTTTCGACTGTTTTAGTCCGTCAAAGTGGGCGTTGAAAAAAAGAGTCAAATTTATTCGACTCGTTTCATTAGTTGATATCAGATTTTTAATAGGGGAAATGGAAAATAATAATCCAACCTTTTAGCGGTCTTCTTACAATAGTCTCACCTTTTCATTATTCATGAATTCCAAGTTATTTTCTTATCTTTGCAAAACATTATGTGATCGTAAGGTGGGAGTTATGGTATAATGTTTTACAAAGATAAGAAAATAATTTGGAATAACAGGTCATAAATCGGTCATGGACTAGTGAATGAAGATGGGGTGCAAAGGTTGGATTATTCATGAATAATGAAAAGGTATGACTATTGTAAGAAGACCGTTAAAAGGTTGGATTATTATTTTCCATTTCCCCTATTAAAAATATGATATCAACTAATGAAACGAGTCGAATAAATTTGACTCTTTTTTTCAACGCCCACTTTGACGGACTAAAACAGTCGGAAATACCCTTTTTGACTGTTTTTGTATGTTGAAAAAGACCATTTTTGGTGTAGTGATTACCAGCAACAAATGTGCCTGCAAGGTTAGATATTCTCAAAAGAGGAATAATTCCATAGTAGGAGGCAATACAACCACACTAAGTGGATGTGTGGTTGAGGTCGTGGCTCATCAAAGGAAGAGAGGAAGGTCATTTGGTTCAATTGATACCCGCCCAAGGAAGAGAAGGATGAGTACGGCACAACCTGATCCATTGATCATCGATATAGAACACCCCTCCCATGAGATTATCTCTAATTACAGTTATGTCCACGAATCATTACTGGAGGACGCTCCGATGTTTGATATGATTCTAGAAAATAGGGAAATCTCAATGGATAGTGAGAATGCACATGTGTTAATGGAAAGATCTTTCATACACATCGATGGCATATTTGCATTTAACGATGTTCACGTAATAATAGAGCACAATGATATCGAACCACGCTCTATTGCAGAATGTCAACAAAGAGCGGATTGGCTTAAATGGAAAGAAACAATCTAGGTATAACTAGATGCTCTGACAAGAAAACATGTATTTGGTCCGGTAGTGCTAACCCCACCAGTGTAAAGCCTGTAGGACATAAATGGGTATTTGTCAGTAAGCGAAATGAGAAGAATGAAGTCTTAAGTGAAATTGTGGTTACAAAAGAAAATACCAAAGACAAAAAGATCACCCCTTTTTATGAAAACTTCAAATGATGTCTTGGTAGGTTTTACTGATGCGGGGTATCTCTCTGACCCTCACAAAGACCGCTCTCAAGTTGGTTATGTTTTCACAGTTGGGAACACGACAATATTTTGGAGATCAACTAAACAAACCCTCATGGCTACCTTCTCGAACCACTCTGGGATTATCGCTCTACACGAGGTAGTTCGTGAGTGCATATGGTTAAGACCTATGATTACACATATTCGAGGAACCAGCTGTGGTTTAAAGTCTACCACTGAAGGACCTACTTGCATTTGTGAAGATAATGCAACTTGTATTGAATAAATGAAGTTGGGATATATCAAGGGTGATAACACAAAACACATCTCCCAAGTTTTTCTACAATCAGACACAACAAGCTTTTCTCAAGATTCAATTGAATCAAATAAGCTCAGAAGAGAACATAGCAAATTTGTTTACCAAGTCATTACCCAAAGCCACTTTTGAAAAACATGTAAAGAACATAGGAATGCGAAAGCTTTCCGAACTTCCCTGATTAATGTAAATATTAGGAGGAGTTGTAGACTTTAGGGGGGAATCTTACACCTACACACTACTACGTTACACTCTTTTCCTTAAACCAATGTTTATTTTTCCCATTGGGTTTTGTTACTTGGTAATGTTTTTAGAGAGGTAACGGTACACATTGGTCAAAGTAAGGATCAAACAAAAGACTCAATGAACGAAGTCTAACGCAGTTTGCATAATGCTTTCTTTCTATCAATGTTATTTTTTCTCATAGGGTTTTTGTTACTTGACGAAGTTCCTACACGACAACTTGGTTCACATCATTCTATCTACAACTCAGCACAATGAGAGCGTTGAAGGAAATTACTTTAATGTGCATTCGTTATATATATAAAGTGTATCTAGGATTTATATGTATTGAGCTAATTGCCCCATTGACCCATACCTTGTAAAACCCTAATCCCTCATATTTAAAGGGGGCTTACTAATGAAATGAAACCCACCTCTCACTCCATACAACAAATTCGTAATTTTGCGTTTATTTCATTTGTTCCCATAGCCTAGGCCAATAGGAAATATATGCAGTTGCTTTGGGTTTATCGTACACACCCTCCATGTGTTCTTGAACATGGTCGAACTAATTTTTTGAATTTATCCTTGACTCAACAATAATATTTCAAGAAAAAACTTTATTTAGTAGTTAGACGTCTTGTTTTTTATTTGAGAATATTTTGATGTGAGTGGTGAGCCGCAACGCGTATAAGATGAGTCTGGCCGATCTTGAGACCCGATGCGTATGGATCCTGAATAGGAATTCTTGATTTACCTGGTATATGGATCGAGTCTGGAGTGACATAGAATTTAACGAGTCTAGGCCTGGAAGACTACGTTTCGACTCGTACCCAATCCATTGACAAGCATCCGATAAATCTCTCTCTATATACTTCCTCTGTTCTTAAATAAGTGCACTAGTCAACATTTCACACTTGTCGAGACACAACTTTGACCATTAATATATATAATTCTCTATTAGTAAAAAATTTTAAAAAAATAGTTTTTGAAAATTTACAATGAGACAAATTTAATAATATACTTTTCAAAAATATATATTAATACATCAATAAATAAAGGGATAATTTGAGTTTGCACCCCACTTTATTGTCGAAATTAGACTTTGCACCCCGTTTTTGAAATCCTTATAATTAGTATTTGCACCCTAACCCCGTATGAAAAGACAAGAATGCCCCTTGATCAGAAATATGTTGAAGGCCAACAAAATTGTTAATTGAGGGGCATTTTAGTCTTTTCATACGGGGTTGGGGTGCAAATACTAAAGATTTCAAAAATGGGGTGCAAAGTCTAATTTCAACAATAAAGTGGGGTGCAAACTCAAAATATCCTATAAATAAAATGTAGTCAAAGTAGAACATGTGAATAGTGTAAAATTTCAGATGTTGCACTTATTTAAGAACGAAGATAGTGTAATAATTTTTGTTTTTCAATTTTTTGACAGACACGTTTTGTCTAAACAAACTATTCACGGGAAAAAATTATCTTTATTCAAAAATGTGTGTACTAAGATACAAAAAATGTGCAACAAGGAGCGGAAATATGTTTTTTTTTTCAAAAATATAACTAAAATCAAACTTATTTACACAAATACGATTACTTTACTAGTTATTACAATGTGATATCAAGGTAACTTAAATTTAAAATTTGAAATAAGTTATTATGATTTTATTACTATTCTAGTCATTAGTCGGTATAACTTATTCAAGCTAGTGTTGTCGACCTTCCTCGCTCGGTCTACACTCACCAACCGTGCATCTACCTTTCTTTGACTAACTAATCAAACCTACCCCAACCATTTTGTTTAATTATTCACCAATAACTAACATAGTGATTGACGCCAAATTTCCCTGCCCGTCATCTCTTCAAGCCCTTCACAGCTTGAAGAGCTTCAGATCTTACTATTCTTTGTTGATTTTGCTCATAAAGTTATAAGAGGACACCTACTCCTCGCGTCTCTCTTCATTCTCATCTCTTACTCTAACTAAATGGGTGGCAGCAAGGTTTACTCTCTCGCCGAGATCTCAGAACACAACAATAACAAGGACTGTTGGCTCCTCATCGGCGGCAAGGTCAGTCTCCCACTTTTCCATCGGATTTGTTGGTTTTTTCTATGTAGTTTTAGTCTTTCGATCAATCAAGTATGAATTTCAGGTCTTTCTTTAACTGCTCAGATCTATAAGAGATTCAACTTTTTTATTTCACTTTATATTGTTGCGTTATTCGTTTTCTGCTTGTTTGAGTACGTGGGTTTCAGTGCTTAAGGGCCTGCTTTATAAGAGTTATTTGGCTGGATCTGCTTAATAATCCCTTAAAACCTTCCACTTTGGCCAAATAAGTAGAGTAAAAAAGAGCAATTTGAGCCAGACAAGCCTGGCAAAAGGAACCTAATTCCTTTCTGGGACGAACCCTTTTATGGGTTTTCAGTTAGGCATGCACAATATTGCTCCTTTCTTGATCCAGCCTATTAGTTGGCTTTTCATAACTATGCAGTTATGGATCTGAATCTGTCACGAGGATGGAAAAGAATGGTTCTTTAGTTTTTACATTTACTTAAACTGAAACAGCTGTGTAATATTTTTTATATTTGTAGAAGGATTGAAAGAATTCCGACCGTTCTATTTGTGATAAGCAGTTGCACACAAACCTTATGTGGTATGTGTGCATCTTGATAGTGAATCGTATACGAAATTATTGTCAAACATGAAACATCACACCAGCCTTTGCATCAAAGTTGCACTATTTAATAGAATTGGTGCAATGTGAATTGTGCATCAGCATATTCATGCACCATATTCTTCCCCTTTGTTTTTTATGCTTCTAGAAGTGGGCAAAACGGAATATAGAGAATTGAAGGGTTTTTGTTATAAAAGTCTTCAAATGGTCATAGTGATTAGTGAATGTAGTGACTAGTACAGTTTGACTTGATATTTACGTGATTTTGGTTTGAGAATGGTGCAAATGGTTTGATGTATATGTACTTGCTCTTTTGGTTTTGGTTTTCTGCATCTGAGATTGTATAGATTGCAACTTTATGCTCTAAAAAGAACAGCATAACTAAACACACACCTAAATATGGTATGAAAAATTACTTGAGATAAGGGTTAATGTAGATTTGAGCATAATCACATTTATGGATTACTGTTTTTGGATAATGGTCCCACATCACATCTTAAGTTCAGTTCGAGAAACTCCTCTTATCCCACCACTGCTTTTTTAGTCCCCTAATTTCACTTATTTTGTTTCTCTTGCAGATATATGATGTGACAAAGTTCTTGGAAGACCATCCTGGTGGTGATGACGTTTTGTTGTCAGCAACTGGTATGATGGTATCCTTTTTCTCTGTAGTACAGATTGTTTTGAAGTTAACCTATTAAGTACTCATTTTGTTTTAGGGTAAACGACTTAAAAATGCTGAAACGGTGGCCGGAATGATTAAATTAGTGGGAATTTCAATACAATTCTTCATATTGAAATAATGGTAAATCTTTGAAAAATAACAATAACTGAAAACAAGGGTAAATGCCCGAGAAATACTTCATACTTCGTATTTTATAAAGAAAAAAGAGTAACTCATGTACTTTTTTTTTTTTTTTTATTATCCTCCACTCCAGTTGCATAGCAAACGAGTTTGTGTTTTGAAGATACCTGTCTGGGAATTCAAACCGAACTTTCCTTATTGGGATGAAAGGTCAAACGAAAGTTCACCTGTCAAACCAGCAATATGTATAAGAAATGATCCTAAACCTACGTGTATATTCAATGTTTTTTGCAGGGAAGGATGCGACTGATGACTTTGAGGATGTGGGTCACAGCACCAGTGCTCGAGAAATGATGAAGGATATGTATGTTGGTGAAATTGATTCCACAACCATTCCTGCCAAGACCAGCTACAAACCTCCAAAGCAGCCTCACTACAACCAGGACAAGACCCCCGAGTTCATCATCAAGCTCTTGCAGTTCTTAGTCCCTTTGGTTATTCTTGGGGTTGCTGTTGGCATCCGTTTCTACACCAAGCAATCATCTTCTTAAAACATCTCTTCTTTGTCTTCTTCCTCCCATACTTCCAATAATAATTATAATGTAGTCCACATTCCTTCTCCATCGTCGACCCTGAAAGTGCTGCCTTTTTTGTGTACGTTACATCTGCTCAATTATGGGGGCAGAAAGAATGTTTTGTTTTATTTGACACTCTTTGGTAATGATGATACTTGAGAACCTTAATACTCTGCACTACTTCTCAGTCTGGTTTTTTATAGTCTCGTTTTATATAGGTCAATTTGTGTCGAGTCGTTTGATCTAGATTAGGGTTGGATTCGGTTCGGGCCACCCGGCCCGTGACCCGGCCCGGTACGGTACTGTGCGGGCCCGGGACCGGCCCGGTCGGGCGGTCCGGGACCGGGTCTGGGCCCGAACCGGGGGGAAGGGGCGGGGCGGGCTCGGTTCAGCATTTTTGTGACCCGGCCAGGTCGGGCCCGGGTCCGGGTCCGGTTCAATTTAATTTTTTTTTTTTTAATTTGGGCTCCTACTAGCCGTTGGGGGTGGGGCTGGGGACAACCCAAACGGCTATATAGCCGTTGGGTGGGGTAAAGGGGGGGTCCGGGGGGGTTGGGGGGTGGGGGGTAAAAAACCTATAAATACTCCTAATCTTAAACATTTTTTCATAATTTCATATCTCTTCTCCAATTCTTCCTAAATCCTATTCTTAACTCTCTACTCTCTAATTCTCTTATTCTCCATTCTCCAATATATTATATTTATTATTTATAGTTTATATTAATTATCTACTTATATAAACTATAAATAGATATAAATAGTATTATATTACTTATATTTGTTATCTAAGTATATATTACTTATATATTTATTATATCTATTAATATAGTTGGAATTATATCTAATTAATTTGAAGTCATTCTATTACTCCCATCCGAAAGACCTAAAGTCCGAAAGAGGTACGAAATTATTCTATTATTTACACTTGTTTAATTAGTTTAAAAAATATGTTGTACACAAAACTAGTTAATTCACTACTTAATTTGCTATAACTCGAATTAATAGTTAGATAAATAGTTAATTAGTTTTTTTACAATTTTTTATTAATTGCTACATTTGACTCTAGTTTAAAAAATATGTTGTACACAAAACTAGTTAATTCACTACTTAATTTGCTATAACTCGAATTAATAGTTAGATAAATAGTTAATTAGTTTTTTACAATTTTTTATTAATTGCTACATTTGACTCTAGTTTAAAAAATATGTTGTACACAAAACTAGTTAATTCACTACTTAATTTGCTATAACTCGAATTAATAGTTAGATAAATAGTTAATTAGTTTTTTACAATTTTTTATTAATTGCTACATTTGACTCTAGTTTAAAAAATATGTTGTACACAAAACTAGTTAATTCACTACTTAATTTGCTATAACTCGAATTAATAGTTAGATAAATAGTTAATTAGTTTTTTACAATTTTTTATTAATTGCTACATTTGACTCTAGTTTAAAAAATATGTTGTACACAAAACTAGTTAATTCACTACTTAATTTGCTATAACTCGAATTAATAGTTAGATAAATAGTTAATTAGTTTTTTACAATTTTTTATTAATTGCTACATTTGACTCTAGTTTAAAAAATATGTTGTACACAAAACTAGTTAATTCACTACTTAATTTGCTATAACTCGAATTAATAGTTAGATAAATAGTTAATTAGTTTTTTACAATTTTTTATTAATTGCTACATTTGACTCTAGTTTAAAAAATATGTTGTACACAAAACTAGTTAATTCACTACTTAATTTGCTATAACTCGAATTAATAGTTAGATAAATAGTTAATTAGTTTTTTACAATTTTTTATTAATTGCTACATTTGACTCTAGTTTCAAAAATATGTTGTACACAAAACTAGTTAATTCACTACTTAATTTGCTATAACTCGAATTAATAGTTAGATAAATAGTTAATTAGTTTTTTACAATTTTTTATTAATTGCTACATTTTTTAGATGGATCGTCCTAGATATTCGGTTGATATGGGTAACCTCGAGCGCAACCGAACGAACGAGCTTGCGAGGAAGAGATCCCGCAAAGGTAAATCACATCTCGGCTCTTCATCTCAAAGTCAAGATGATTTTGATACGGGATGCGATGACCGACGAACAACTAGAACAAGAATTGCACCGACATAATTCCCGCTTTTTTCAAGACCAACCGAGGACCATTGACGAAGAAGAGCTCGAGGACGAGGACGACGATGTGGAGGAAGCAATTCCGGAGAGCCACGACGAGGAGGAGGAGGAGGGTGGCGGCAGCCATGACGCCGACCAAGCAGCCTCATCCCAAACAGGTACAAAAAAAAGTAAATCTGAATTAATGGCTAATAATTTTTCTAAGTGGAAGGACCCGAACACCGGAAATTGGACCGCAACTTGCAATTGGTGCAAGAAAAACTATAGCTTGGGGATTTCCGGCGGATACGGATCCGCCACAAGACACCTTAAGTCCAAACACCCGATGGAGTATGCAAAATTAGGCGGCGGAACGGGGAAGCAAACGCAAATATCGAGGTTTGCAAATAATCAACAAGCTTTTGGTAATTTCTCATACAATGATGCACAAAATTTGACAGGTATGACTAACTTACTTGTTGAAGAAAATTTGCCTTATTTGTTTTCTGAAAGTCTTGCTTTTCGTGATTATGCAAAAACTTGTTTAAATCCGCAATATAGAGGTTATAGTCGCAAAACGGTTAAGAAAAAAATTTCAAGGCTTTATGGTGCGGAAAAGGTAAGGCTACAAAATTATTTTGCAAACTTTGATGGACGTGTTACTGTATGTTCTGACATATGTGAGGATACTTATCATAATTTACATTATTTGGGTCTGACTGTACATTATATTGATAATGATTGGCATATGCATAAACGTGTTCTTGCTTTCCGTGAATTTAATGATCGTCACACCGCTGAACATATTTATATTTTGATTGAACGTATTTTAATTGAGTATAATTTAATTGATAAGGTGTTTGCTATTGGTTTTGATAATGCTACTAATAATACTGCTGCTATTCCTAGATTGCGTGAATTGTGTGGTTCTACTTCTTTGATGGGTAGATTTTTTCATCAACGATGTGCATGTCATGTTCTAAATTTATGTGTGCAAGATGGTCTAAAAGCGTTGGGAGCATCGTTGGAGGTAGTCAAGGGGGGGATTAGACGTATTTGGGGTAATGGACACCTTAGGAAAAAATGGCATGATTATTTGATAGAAAGAGGCGAGAGATATGTGGCTTTTCCAAAAGATTTGTCTATTCGTTGGAATAGTATCTATAAGTTAATTGGAGTTCTTCTTAGATATAAACAACATTTTCCTGCTTTTATGAAACAATATGATAACTATATTATAAACTCGGCTGAGATCGACACCTGTGAAAAAATTTGTAATGCTTTGATATATTTTAATAATGCAACTGAAACTTTTAGTCATGTTTATAAACCTACCTCAAACCAATTTATTCGTGAAGCTGTTAATCTCGCCGGTGCTTTTTCAAATTTTGAGAATGCTGATTATGTGAATTATTTTGCTGGTTTTATGAAGGAAAAGTTTTTAAAATATTATTCACATATTCCGCATATTTATGGTATTGCATTTGTTCTCGATCCTCGTTTTAGACTTGGTTCTTTAGAAGAATGTTTGAATTATTATTATGCTGCTTTTTTTGGTCCATTGCCAATGTATGAGGACAACCCAATTGATCCGAAAAAAGAATACAACGAGGTTAGTGATATATTTTATGCATTATTCAATGAGTTTCATGCACAATATGGCAATGCGCCCCCTCCCCCGACACAAACATCATCTAAAGGAAAATCAATTTTCAAATCTACGTTTGCCAATCTTATTAAAAAAACAAAATCAACTCCCGCTACACAACAAAGCACAATTAATGAGATTTCTTTGTATTTAACTTATGATGTTGATTTTGAAGAAGATGATGATTTTGACGTACTAAACTGGTGGAAGGGAAAAGAAAGAATGTTCCCAGTTTTAGCAAAGATGGCTAAGCAAGTGCTATCAATGCCGGTTTCAACGGTTGCCGTGGAACAAGAATTTAGTTCGGCCGGCAATGTTCTAACACAAACCAGAACGAGGTTGAGCGCTGAATCTCTTGAGATGCTTATATGCTACCACGATTGGTTGAAAGCAGCACGTCGAGCTCAAGAAATTGACATCACTCCATCCCAACACTTTATGGATGAATCTACAGAGGGTGGCTCTACTTATGCCGGAGATTCCGATTAAAAACAATTATAGTTCCTATTTAATTTTCAAATGTAGTTCCTATTTCATTTCAAATAAATGCACTTGAAGTTTGTTTTTTAATACTTGTATAAAACTATAAAGTATAAAATATAAATTTAAAAAAAAAATTACCCGGCCCGACCCGGCCCGGCCGGGCGGGTGGCCCGACCCGTGACCCGGGCGGGTGGCCCGGCCCGAACCGGACCCGTCCAACCCTCGGGCCGGTCCCGGGCCCACTATTCTAGAACCGGCGGCCCGACCGGGCCTAGGCCCGGCCCGGGCCCGACCCGACCCGAATCCACCCCTAATCTAGATCATATTTTTCATTATTAACGATACATCAATTTCACCTTTATTTCAATGAAATTAAATATAGATCGATCAATAAACACTTCCATACTTACCTTTCACATTGTTTGCACTTTGCAGTAGAAGTGGTCAAACCTATGTAGCACGGAAACTCTGGGGAAAGATTACGTTTCCGTTTCGGAAACTCTTTGGAAACTCTCCAAACAAGCCTTTTTTGAACAAAAGTTGACGTTTCCCGTTTCCTCATGATTTTCGCGTTTCCGTGCAACATAGGATCAAACGATAATCTTAATAGTTGATACTTATTGTATAAATCTTCATAATAAGTATTGAATATAAACTTCACAATTTTGTGAAGTCATCAATTGGCTCTTATGCTGAACTTCTGTGATATACTTAGGGATGGACTCGGGCTGGGCCCGACCGGGCTTTTTTTGGAATCATTAGGCCTGGAATCGGCCCGGGTAGCTACTGGGCCCAGTTCGGGCTGGGCCACCTGGCGGGTACCGGACTGGATACCCTATTTTTTATTTTCTAATTACTTCCTACCCCTCACCCCCACACCCCAAACCCCTCCAAAACACCCAGCCCAACCCATTTACCTTTTAAAAATTTTGAAAAAAAAAAAATAAAGTTGGCCCGGACCGGGCCCGAACCTGCCGGGCC